TCATTTAAATTAGCCGTGTTTGTTCATTCACAGGAGTAAAGATTGTTACTTGTTGCCGACACGCTGGAACAATCGAAGCTGTTGAAATTTTGGCTCATGCATATAAACGCACGGCTGTGCATTTGCTCTTTGATTAGCGTAATTGAAAATGCATTCAAAACTATTGTATGTATTTGTTGTGCTATAAAGTGTTTCATTTTTGTATTTGAGTAATAATTCCATGTTATTATTGAAGTGACTTTTATTATTCTTTTAAAACATGAAGCTTCTTGAAAGTTTAAGTTACACATGAATTTCTTAAAGAACTATTATTTACAATGATATGAGATACAATGTGTAACACCAGTGTTTCCCTTACCATTATATTAGGGGGGCGCCCTGCCCTCCCAACAGCTTTCCCCGCCACCCTTGAAGTCAAGTTAATTGTATTTTCTATATAGCGCCAGATCACAATTTTTTTTTTATGAACAAGCTAAATCGAGAGTGTGCGCCACATCTGACAGGCGAATCATTTTGCTTACAGCATTTGCTGCTGTAAGCAATTTTTAAGTTGATGTATTTGCAGGTCAAGACAAATTATTTTTAAAAAAATTGTGACGGTGGTTGTTTGTAATAAATAAATCTTATATACAGTTTATAATAAGGAAAAAAAAATAATAATTCAAATCTCAAAAAACTGAACTCCGCGGGATTCGAACACGGGACCTCCTGCCCCGCAGCCGAACGCTCAACCGCTGGTCCACGTGGGTACTGCACTAGCTGGCTTTCACACGTCCCCCGCAGCCGAACGCTCAACCGCTGGTCCACGTGGGTACTGCACTAGCTGGCTTTCACACGTCCCTTAATCCCACTGCCAGCGGACCTCAAACAAAAAAAAAAAAGTAAATAGTTACCAGAATTAATAAATCTTTGGGCGCCAGACAAGATTAACTTGCCAAAAACTAAATTTAAACCCTGGATAGCCGCGGCAAACACTCAACCACCATACACACAAAGAGAAGAAAATAAAGATAACCCAACACACACTTTAAATTAAATCAACTGTTATATTTTAACAACCATTACAATGAAAAGGTTTTCTAAATCAAAATATACTTTTCATAACTGTTTAGTCATAGATCTATAATCAAAATTAACACTTTTTAGGCAACAAAAGGAATCAACAAACAAACAATTCAAACACTTCAATAATAATGTTTAGATAACCCAAAAGAAAACAAACAAACAAACAATAATAATGTGTGGCTGATCGAATGGAAACAAGAGAGGGAAAAAAAATGTAAAGAAAGCCTATGTGATAACGTTGTAATGTGTGTGTGGAATGTGTGGGTGTATGAATGGATGCAAATGGACAAAAGTTACTGACCCAGGGACACCGAAGCCGTTCTGCACAGGTCCACTTTTCCCATCAGAATTTCAGACCCCTTGCACGCAATACTAGAGAAATCGCCTGGTCACCACGTCCACGAATTGCTTCCACCCCTCAGTTTTTTTCCTCACACAGTCATTGAAACCAACAAGCTCTCCACCTTACACCGTTCTTCTCCTCCTTCTCCAATTCTTACCACCAAATACAAGGAACGACACCAAAACAACAAGAAGCCCCTTCTCTGGCCTTTTCTCCCTCTTTTATAATCTCCGATTGTTTACCTGACATTCCGCTTCCTCCCGACCCCCGGAAGTATTGTCTGGAAGCGATAGGAAGGACCGGTCGGAGCAGCGCCCCCCTAGTGGCACTTGAGAAAAATAAACATTAAAGAGCATCCATCTCGCCACAAAATGTTAATCTTTAGCTTGTACGGTTGAACACTGAATAAATAATACTGATTTTTACTGATCCAGTGATACCGATTTTGTAATACTGATTTTGAAATATTATTAGAATACAGTGGTCCCTCGTTAATTGTGAGAGTTGCATTATAAAAATAACCCGCAATAGGCAAAATCTGTAGTCAGCTTTATTTTTTACAGTTATTATAGATGTATTAAGGCTGTAAAACCCCTCACTACACACTTTATACACTTTTCTCAGGCAGGCATTAACATTTTTACACTTTTCTCTCTTGATTAAACACTCTCAAAGTTCAAACATTCGTAGAAAAATAAGACCAGTATTGTAGAATGAAATCAAAGATTAAAACCTGTTGTCAGACGCAAACATTCATCGATGCCAGCAAAAGGTTCATAAAGCTTGTGCAGATACTAGCCCCTTTCACACAGTGATACCGGTAAATATCCGGAAAATTTCCGGAACGACTTTACCGGTATATTCAAAAAAGCGCTGTTCACACAGGCGAGGACGTTACGGAAATTTTCCGGAAAAGAGCATTCACACATCCATTCCAAAATACCGGTAAATTCTGACATCATTCACCACAAATGAGCTTTAAATGGCTGCGCTTGTATTTGTAAACATTTGACTAAATTACAAACTCTGTGGATGATCAATATTGTGAACAACTTTCTCAGGATCACTTTCGCATGTCGAGATGTTCATAATATGTGCGTGTGCTGGCGCTCACAGGCTGTTTCACAGGCACACGAACGTAAACAAACAACGGCTTATCATAAGCATCTCATCGATGATTATTTACACAGTTGGCATTAAGAAGAACATATAAATGTGATCTGACTAACTTCTAGCAGCTAAATGTGTCTGGAAAAATATTCAAAGGCTTTTATCCTCACAAACCGTGCGGACGTAAATGCGTCTGACTGTTGTGATTGGCTAAAGCAGACGTCTCACGTCAGCACGATCTAGACGTGCACGCGCCTATTACAGGAATCTTCCTTCTGCATTCACACAGCGCAGCATTCCGGCAAATTGCCGGTAATGTTACAACTTCTCTTTCCAGAAAATAGCCAGAACAAATTTACCGGTATTTTCATAAAGGACCTGTTCACACATACAACCTTTGCGGAAAATTGCCGGCAATTTTCCGGAAAGGTCTGTATGTGTGAAAGGGGCTAATGTTGGCATCCAGCATAATGTCGTTTATTCACAAAACTAAAGCAGACTCCATCTATAAGAGGTCGCACACTGGATGCGTTGGTCACATGACAGTTTTAATTATATTCCGATGGCGCTTTGTGATGCAGCAGAAATATAAACGTTGCCCTGAGTCATAGCTGGGCACTGCAGACAACATCCAATTTGTGGCGCCGCTGTGCGTACCCTGATATAAACCTATGTTTACAATTCAAAAATGCATGGTGCTTCGTGGCGTGGCACATTCGGTGTGCGACCTGCTTTACGATGTTGGAACTCACACTGCTAGCGATCGAAGATTTGTGTTAATTTGGCAAGCTGAACGCATTATGTGCTGTACAGGAGACACACTGGAGATTGATTGACAATGGTCCACAGCCAATCAGGATGCAGAATAAAATATATATTTTAATTGAACATTTTTAGTGCATGAAAAACATGAAAAATTACATTAAGTAATCCATCATACATGTAAATTGAATCCTGACCTCCACATGAAAATATATATATAAAAAAATAATAATAATAAATAAATAAAATATGATTGTAATTAAATAAACAAACTAAATTAAAACAATTTACATAAATTACACAATTATATTACAAAAAGCAAAAAGACATATACATTTTTTTTAACAAACAAACTTTTAGTCTTAGGGCCTACTCACACTATGCCATCCGTACCATGCCCAGGTCTGTTTTCGGATCGTTTGAGAAGTGTGAGTGCGCTGAATCGGGCTCAAAGACGGTTCACAAAACGCGCCAAAGCCCGAAACTAAAAGCGAGACGTGACTTTTAAGGGACTGTTTCATATGGATTTAGTAATCAATCTTACTGTTCAATGAACGCAAACTGCCGTAGTTTATTAAAGAGGCAAACCTGCAAGACAGCTACGCGGCTTCAGCAGACCTCCTCATTCCTGCAGTACGAGAGCTTTATTATTGTTTATGAGCGCCAAAAGTGGCGGATCTGTTCGGCGAAATATCTGACTGCGTGTCACCGCATCCCTAAGGACTGTTTGGTGAAATATTTGACTGCATGTCACTGCATATCAAACGACTGAAACGATATAACTAGAGAAATCTCCACTGCGCTGAGCGAGAGCGCGTACTGAAGAGGGCAGCATCAATGACGTAAGCGTGCCCATGCCCGATTGTAATGTGAGTGCGGGCTGTCGGGGGAGACGGGAGGGGGACTAGCGTGCTTTGGCCCAGTTCGAGGCAACTGTACATAGTGCGAGTACGGCCTTAGAGACTAAGTAATCAAAGAAAGGGTCCCAGGTTTGTAAAATAGAAAAGGTTTGTTCTTCATAGTTCTTCATAGCTGTGGAGAAAGGGATTAAAATGTGCAATTTTGAAGTATGCTTCGCACAGGTTAGTGGGCTTGACAAACCACCTGTCGAAAGAGTTTATTTGTACTATTAGCACTTCTTGTGTGTATTGCCTCTTCTTGTTGAATCACTCAATACCTCCTCCATTGCTTTAAATGGATGAATGAATTAAATGGATGATATTTTTTTTCCAAATTGCTTGTAAACAACTGTAAAAAAACAGAAAAAGGAAGTTTCATGGTTCTCAAAACGTTTGCAAAGATTAGAAGTCTTTATTGTCCACACATGTGGAAATTCGTCATTGACTTCACAAAATGTTACAAAACATCACCACACATTACAAATACAAAACACAACCACAAAGCACAAACACAGCATAGATTACCAACACACAACCCTGGCTATAAAACCACAAACAGAATAACATTTAAACTACTTCATTGTCATGTGTTCAACATAATAATAGCAGACGGTATAAAAGATTTCTTAAAAATGTTTATTTTTGCTAAAAATTTTTAAGACTTTTTTTTTTATATCGTCTGCAAAGTTATATTGAACACATGACCATGAAGTAAGACAGTTCTTACATATATTATAATCCATCTTCAATTGTCAAAACAGACCTGATTGTATTGTGAGCAGCATTTACATTAACACTTCTCATCTTTTGTTTTCCTTCAGGTCGAAACGAGCTGATTGCCCGATACATTAAACTCAGAACCGGGAAGACAAGGACACGGAAGCAGGTAAGAGAATCCGCTGTCTTGCATGCACGCCACTAAACAGGGAAAAGCCTGTACTGTTGAATGTGCCTGCTATCAGAGCTTTTGCAGGAAGAATATTACAGCTCACATAATATATAGCAGAAAAAAGACATTCTCACATGTAGGGGTGGGTGATGTATAATGCATTATATTATACAGTTCACATACATAAACATATTCACATAAATGTCATTAAAAAGTATTATTACCATTTGATTTAGATTAATGTAAACACATTTTGTCAATTTTAAGACAAACATATATGTGTCATTTATTTATAATTAATTAACCAAATTGTCAAGTGTTAAAGATAAATTATTATTATTCATACAATTAACAAAATTTTCGTTATTATTATTGTTGTTATTATTATTATTATTTTATTATTATTATTATTTTATTATTATTATTTTTATTATTGTTATCATTATTTTATTATTATTATTATCATTGTTCGAAAATTAATTAATGAATTTAACAAACTTGTTGAATGCTAAATTGTTATCATTAGTGCTGCTACTACTACTATTATTATTATTATTATGACTATTATTTTGATTTGTTATTATTATTACTATTATTATTATTATTAGTTAATTAATTAATTTAACAAACTTGTTGAGTTTTAAATTATTATTATTATTATTATTATTATTATTATTATTATTATTATTATTATTATTATTATTAAATAATTAATTAAGGAATTTAACCAACTTGTTGTGTGTCAAAATATTATCATTATTACTACTACCACTACTACTACTACTACTAATAATAATATTAAATAATAATTAATTAATGAATTTAACCAAATTACTGAGTGTTAAATTATTATTATTATCATTAAATAATAAATTAATTAAGTTAACCAACTTCTCGAGTGCTAAATTATTATATTTACTGCTACTACTACTACTACTGTTTTTGTTATTATTAATAATATTATTATTATTATCATCATCATCATCATCATTATTATTATTATTATTATTATTATTATTATTATTATTATTATTATTATTATTAAATAATTAAATAGGGATTTAACCAACTTGTTGAGTTCTAAAATATTATTATTATTATTATTAAATAATTAATTTAACCAACTTGTCGAGTGTTAAATTATTATTATTATTTTCATTATTACTATTATTATTATTATCATTATTACTACTACTACTATTACTTCTACTATTATTATTATAGTTATTTTTATTATGTAATTAGTAAATTAAATCACTTGTCGAGTGTAAATACTCTTAAGTTAAACAAAAATATTATTATTAATATTGTTTTATTTTTTATTATTATTAAATAATTAATTAAGAAATTTAACCAAATTGCTGAGTGTTGAATTATTATTATTATTATTATTATTATTATTATTATTATTATTATTATTATTAAATAATAAATTAATCAATTTAATCAACTTCTCAAGTGTTAAATTATTATATTTACTGCTACTACTACTACTATTGTTTTTGTTGTTATTATTATTCATTTTAGCATCATCATTATCATTATTATTATTAAATATTATTATTATTATTATTATAATTTTTATTAAATAATTTAAGGAATTTTACCAACTTGTTAAGTGCTAAATATTATTTATCATTATTATTATTATTATTATTATTATTATTATTATTATTAAATAATTAATTGGACCAACTTGTCGAGTGTTAAATTATTATTATTATTAATATTATTATTATTATTAATATTAATATTACTACTACTACTATTAATTTTCCTATTATTATTTTTATTATAGTTATTATTATGTAATTAACAAATTTTAAGTGTAAATGCTAAACAAAATAATAATTATTATTATTATTTTTATTATTATTATTATCTTAATTATTATTATTGCTAATATTATTTTTTACCTAAATTGCTATTAATTATTTGAAATCATCTTTTTAGAATCACTTTTTTTTATTAAAACATAAGTTTTCTTTTGTTTAAATGTGTAATGTGATACAAAATATTGATAAATCTACAAATTACACAATAATCCTGTATTTAAATAAGCTTATTTGGCATTCAAAGTACAAATTATTTATTCTTACACTCCCTTGTAATCAAACTAATAAATTAATTAATTAACAAATGTATATGTATAGAAGTAAAATGAAGAATTTATACCCACACACGACTGAAATGTTTTATGTTATTTTATATAGAACAGAAAAGAAAATGTGTGTATTTTTGTGGATTGCAATGCTATACAGAAATTATTTTTGTATAGCAAAAAATAATTGTTTATTGTGTATAGCAAAAAATTATCATTGTTTTAAAAAAAGATAATTGTTTAGCAAAAAATGTTTAAAAATGTGCGCTTGTGCCATGAATTTTAACAAGTAGGACTTCTGTTTTTGCAGAAATGTGTCTTTATAATTCTCCTTTCCAAAATTTAGTCAGTTGAGGTGATTGAAATACAATTTAGTGTGCCAAATTTTTTCATTTATTATTATATCATCCACCTCTGCTGACACACACACACACACACACACACACACACACACACACACACATACACACACACACACACACACACACACACACACACACACACACACACACACACACACACACACACACACACACACACAAACACAGAGAGACACACACACACACACACATAGGCACTCATGCAGAAGCATGGAGCTTTGCAGCATGTTCAGGCTGGGTGCAGGAACGCTAATGTGACGGAGCCCAAACATTGGGCTCAGCCGGCAGATGTTTCATTCAGCTGTATGAGAACACACCATGGCCAAAACACACAAAACCAACCAAGGCTCATTCTGATTACGTGCCCCTATATACATTTCTGGAGAGCGCCAAATACGTCCCAGCAGGTACATTTTATTTTTATTTTTATTTTTTTGCAGTTTTTGTTTTTCCCAATCCACCAGAGGGCGCTGTGTATGCTTTTTCAGATGTCAAATTTCTCTTGCGAGTGCCATTCGCACCTGCTGTTCTCATGTAAATAAACCAGAGGCCGCTGTTTAACCCACCCATCCTTCCTTAAACCCAGCCAATAGTGTTTCCAAAAGCACAGATTGATCTGCCCACCCACATCCCTAAACCCAACCCACAGTGTTTTCAAAAGCAATCCTGAAAAAGAAAAGCCCTCACCTAGTTTTTACCACATTCTTACCCTATTATTTACTAGTTTATTTTATTTTTTGGATTCTGTTTTTGTCTTACTCGCTTTCTGGAACTGTTCTTTGCTGGACTCGAACCCCGTCAACTCCTCTTTGCACCTTAAGTCCATCAACGTACATAGTGAGCTACTGGACAAACTGGTAAAGCCATCCATACGGAGGTAAGCGGTCAGCTGGTAAGCGTGAAAAGGAACAGCGTTATACCACCTTGTAGCATTTGTTTTAAAGACAAAATGCAGCCATATGTACTTCTGGCTACATAATTCACAATTTCCAGAAATGTATATAGCGCTACGTTTTCAGAATGGGCCTATGTTACATGAACCACACTTACTACCTTATTTGCAAACACAAAGCACCAATATTTAAAGGGCTCATTATTTACACACACACACAAAAAGAGTTACATCACAATGTTTTTACACTGATGACCTGCTTAGAACCGAACTATCTGCTTAAATCTGTTTCCTCCATTTAACTGTACTGTCATTCTTCATGTTGATCTGTGAGTGTTGGTACAGCTGTAACACTTCTGTGAGCTGTGTTTACACGCAAAGCTCTTATCTGAGAGATTTACAACAGCTGACAGCCAACATAATACAAGACGTCCCCTTGTTTTAAACTGCAAATATGTGAATTTACTGGAATATTTGTTATCTGGGGTGCACTGAAAAATTTAATCGAGAGTGTTTGCAATGCATCACTTGTAATGATTTATGTCACTGATCACATTTTAAGCCAGGTCAGTTATTGCATTTAGCAGTCAGATAATACTTTACCGTTTACAATAGGAGGTTTCATTCGTTAACATTGGTTCATTCATGAGAAATGATTTATTTATTTATCTCAGTGTTAATCCTCATTTAATTTATGATCACGATTAAAAGCTGTAGCAGTTGATTTTAATTAATGGGCCTGAGCTAATATGAACTCACAATGCTAACATTTCCATAATGTGAAAAATACACAATCACTGAATTCATAAATTCAATAAAAAATTTAATTTACTGTTAATTGTCATATAATTTGGCAATTTTTTGGTTGAGTTAATTAAAAAAAATATGCTGTAGTTTTGTCTATTGCATACATACTCAAGCATAATTTAAAAAAAAAATGATTTGATTGGGGTTTATGAACAGTTGTACACTGAAAACCCCAATAAGTTGACTGAACTAAATTAATTGAGTAAACTCGTTGCCTCAATTTAATTGAGTAATGGAGTCTCCCAAAACTTGCATATTTCAGTTTATTTAACTTGCCGGTTTTGTAGACTATACTTAAATTTTTCAGTTCACCAAACTTAGTACTACATTTGTGAAAATATAATTTTTTTTTCAAAGGATTAATTATGATTTTGGCTTGTCATGATCACCAGCGATCTAAACTGCATAGATCGCTGGAATACATGCATAAATACTTACGGACTACAAAACCGCCATTTGAGGGACTACAACTCCATATATGCATTCCGCTCACACACACATGTTCCTCATACTGACTGATTACACACTATTTAAGCAGCCCGTACACTCACCCCAGTTGCCGAGACATTACAGCGTGTTTCCTTTGCCTTGTTTTTCTGTGTTTTTACCCTCGCCTTGTTTATCTAGTTATCCCTGCTAAAATTTTAAGTTATGTTCAGTCAACTTAACTTAATTGTTTAAGTAAAGTCAACCTTAGGGTTTACAGTGTAAATAACATTAATGGTATTTCTCAAGGTATTGTTAGTTAATTGAACCTTTAATTGATTATCAAGATTAAAAGCTGTAGTGGTCGATTTTATTTAATGGATCTGAGCTA